CTTTACTCTATTCTTAAAGTGGCTCTAGATTGGATTATGGATACGTATGAGAAGCAATAAAAAATCCGGGAATCACTTTACACTAGTACTAAATATTGTAGCACTAATTTTATTGTATAAACCTATGCATTTTTGAATGATGAACCAATAGAGATATGCCTACAATTGTCACTTATTTGGTACTTGGTAGTTAACACTAGCATTCTAATACAGATTTTACATAGTTAAATTATGCCTTCATATGAAAAGTATCTTAATAGTGAAAAAAAATCTAATATTTATTGATGTCAACAAAATAGAAAAACGTATATCGAGAGAGAAGAAAATTATTGCCTGAATGTGAAAGATTCTTTTGAAATCCATGAAAAATAAACATAACATAAACATTTTATTACAAATAGGGCAAGATTGGCACCTTCAAACAAACGATGATCGGAACGATCTATAATAATTTTTATTTATTTTACTTCTTTGCCCCAACACAATAACCCACAAAAGGTGAGATTTTGATTTATTTATGCTAGGCATAAAAATCTAGGACACGTTAAAATGACTAGAGCTAATGAGGTGTGCCAGATTTATAGAATTTGACAATCAATATTCTTTCTATAGAGAAGTCTATAAAAATGTTACATTTATTATGTTGCTACTAATGACTACTGAAATATGAATGTGCTCATTTCAAGTGACCTTCAAAGTATTTATCCGAAAAATATATTAAATTTTGTTACATTCTTACCTTTATACATATTTCAAAACTATGTATCATTTCCATTTTCTATTCATGAAGTAAAATTATTATTTTATTAGAAATAAATCCAACGAACTATGACGACAATTTATTATAAATTTTTATGACAACTACTAACACTTATCTTGGCAATGTATCATTTGTAACATAAATCAGAGCATTGTGAGAAAAATCGTTGAATTGAGACTCGATGTCGCCAGCGTGTTGTCACATGTATTTTAATTTAATCACGAATTTTGTTTTATAATTTTGGTCACAAATCGCATATTACATTTGTTTCAGGAATACAAATTAGACGCATAGTATTTGCACTCACACCATTGAACAGACGTTGTGTTATCGATTGTATAAATAGAAAAGGGAAAGAGGATAATTTTAATAATTAAAACTAAAGCAAAATGTTGGTTATGTTTGTTTGTATCTAGTTTTGCTTCTCAAAAGCTAAATCCAGTTTTTTGACATAATACTCATATCATAATAGCCGCCATTTGTTAAACTTTTCGAGATATAATGAGACCAAATAAAAAGTACATCGCAGTACATATTATGTGCATTAATCTGGATATTTAGTTGTTTTCTTATGACTTACTTTACAATAAAACAATCATTTATAACAATCAAATTGTAAAGGATTTAAATTCCTCCGAAATTGTGGGCTGTTCTGATAATAACACGGTAATAAGATAAAAAAAACTGCATTGGCCTCAGAAAACGGTTCAAAAAGAAATTAATATCTTATAGCTTTCTGACTAAAGCTCTCTTAAAAGACGGTTGATTGATATGAAAGGTATTCCTAATCCCGGCGATATTTTTAACTTAGCCGTCACAGACACGATATATAGAAGGAACACAGAAAAATTTTTTTTTTGATATAAATTAACGAAATTTCTAATTTAATCTAGGTGTGTTAAAACTGTCACCGATAAATTCGTTGAACTGCATTATAAACTTATTTAATCTTTAACTCTTAGAATCCTGACTATTTTTACTTTATGAAGGTGGATTTTTATATATAGAGTGATTATAACTACCTAGGTATAGTAAAGTAATTTTAAAGATATTTCCATAACATATTGAAATGGAATTTAAAAATTACTTCAACGATATTCAGGTTTATATTATGTTATATAGTCTTAGATCCAACTAAAAGAAAATTTTCTTGGTAGCTATGATCAATATCTAATGAATGTAATAATAATTAAAATTCGAAAATATTTAGCCACATTAACACAGTTCATATTGCTTTTCATTACTATACAAAAATCCATCAAAAGATATTTGGAGGTGCGTCCAAAAATTTATTTGTTTAATTGCAATTTGAAGTCATTATAGTATTCGCTTCAATTCCATAATAAAGTAACTGAATGGCCTTTACGGTTTTTTAATAACATTTATATTACACAATATAACTAGAACTACAATTAATACAGCTGAAAGAAGTTGAAGCAAACTACTATATGTACTATTATTACAATTTATATATTTTATTTTAGTCACACCAAAATGTTAAAATTATTTAAATAGCCTATTTTAGAAAGGCAACAATACATCCTTATATTAACTGTAATTGGAAACTGTAAATTGACTAAGCCCTTTGTAATCTTGGAATCAATCAAACCGTGGTAAATAATATTTCCAAAATTTTTGTTAAATACTCAGTGTGGTTCTTTTGAATATAAAGACATTCTTTTGTTATAGTTTTTTAAGCAATTATTATCTTAAATTACAGATTAAAAAGCTGCTCGTGTCCTAAATTTTGTCATATGACATCAATGTCTATTTGTTGTAATTTTTGTTTAAATATTAGCCCTACATATCTATTCTATTAAATAAATGAACTAAATAAACGATACAGTAATATTAGCTATACATACATGTATATCGGATTTGTTATAATGTAATTGACAGATTAATAAAATATGAAGAAATAATTTGTTCCCGTCTGTAAAAAGGTATTATACTAAACCATAGGATCATTGTTCGATTAGAAATATTTAACTCGCTGTCGAAGTCGTGAAGCTGGGACGCGCGGTCGACTGACTTGAAAGGAAATCCTGATAGCTGTGATACCGTCGACTTAGAAATCAGAGAAGCGACAAATTGAGAAATTCTAGTAAGGGAAATCTGTTTCGGATTCCGAAACTCACCTACAATGTTCAGATGAACCTTTGGAAAATTTTGTTCTAAGTACCATACATTCAATTAAACATATTGAAATATCAGAAAAATGATTGGAGTTCATTTAAAGAAAAAGTTGTTTTGAAATCTAAATAATAAAATAAAAATATGTATATGGTTTTATATTACCAAGTATATACTTTTATAACGATGAACAAAACCATATAAACATGTTTGACGTTACAATTAATTATTACAATTATTTATTTGAGACAATTACAAAACAAAAATTCATTGTATAAGAAAAAGACAATATTGTATAACGCTATGATAATCCTATTAATTAAGATAAAACTTACCTTTCTAACATGTGTAGTTTTCTGTGTCAACCAGTTCTAAAGTATGTCGCGAGCTTTTTACTCTTAGTACTCGTACGAATTGTCATCGTCAACTAAAAACTGAAAGTTGTAACGTTTTTTCATCGAGAAATAATCAAATGAGTGTATACGTATCTTTTATAAGTGGAGCAGTATCGGTGTGACTATCTAACTGTCGGTATTTGTGAAGACAAAAAGAAGTCTTACTAAGGATACTGTTTATACATTCAGCTCATAAAGACTGTTTTCACGACGTTCCCCTCATTAGTTCACGTGAGAGGTGTTTCTTTGTTCTTCTGTTGTTTTAAATTAACTCCTTTGAGTAATTTGTAAATGTTATTTAGTTTTCATTACACTGCTCATATTTATGTATATTACGATACTGCATAATTTGTTTATTAAATAAATGTCGTTCTTATGTATTTAAGTGTTAAAAAATATATCATATGTTAAGGTTGGGAGTTTATAAATTCAAATAACTGCTTAACATACATGCAGCCGGCTAATGGATGATAAATGAAATGTACAGTTAGCAGACCTAGGTTATCACCCTAAGTGGTACGTTTTGGTGCAGAGAGCGTTTCGTTGTTACGCGGCTGTAAAAAGAGATTTTTACGGTTGATGGGGCCGGCGTTTATCCTTATTTGCGACTGTACGTGACCAAGAACCTGCATTTGATTTAACTAAGAGGATTTAAAAATGCCGACGAATTTTATGCCGTGGCAATTTTTTGCTTAATATTGTTGGATGCGCGGATATTTTTATGTTTTTTTTTTCACATTTGCTTTAAATGTGATATGTGAAATTCGGATGCGATTATGGCTATATGGTCATATTTGGATACGAATATAATGTGCATTAATTTATATAAATTCTTTTATACAATCAATGCGTAAAAAGTATTGCTGATAAAAACCGCAACAATAACAAAAAAGTTGTTTGTTTTTTTCAGTCATAAGTCAGCAAATAAAATAAAACGGTCAGGGAACCTTATAAGCAAACTTTTTAAGATTCGGAGTGCTTACATTCTGTTGTGGTAAAATATGACCGTGACCCAAAAGTTTACTAAAGACGAATGCATGAACTTTTACTTGAAGTAACTCGAATCGAAGTTTTGTTGTAAATCATCGATTCCATTGTGTTGTTACCAAAATTATACTGTAAGTTTTTTTAAGTAAAAAAAAAAACAGATATGTATATTTTTACATTTATTAATAAAACTCAACAATAATCCACAAAGAAAATAATATAAAAACAATATTGTTATGTGACCCATGCACTTATATGAAATTATTATTGCAAGAATTGAGATAAAAAATAAATTAGTTTAGTTAAAAAGAAGCGAACGGGTACAAGAGTGAACATAATAACGTGTTTTTTTAACAAAAAGACGCAATGAAACACTGTACTCTATATACATGAATAAATGACAATGTAAATTTAACATCCATTTACTTAATTATTAAGACATGAAAAGACATATTAAACAGTCAAAGTTAGTTTTTACATTAAAGTATCACGGTTGAGTTAACAGAAAATATAAATGTATGTATTACGATAGTAAAATAAGTAATAAAACATATTCTGTGAGTATTTAGAACTTAGAGAAAACTAGTATAAAATAACATTTCATAAAATAAATACAATATACCTTCTCCTTAGAAAGTATATGAGTTGAACACTTACAATTTTCATTATTTTCGATGTCCCTTATATATAATTTGAGTCTTGAAAAATTATATTAGTGAGTAATATTAATCTTCTGTACCAGTAATCCATTGCAGATACTTGAAAGATCTTGATTGAACCGGTGGGGCTTTCGTATCTACGTGGATACGAGGTTGAACATATGCAGGTTGCTCTCTGAAATATTTTAATTACATACAATTGCATTACAGTATACTTTTAACTATGTGTTTAATATTGTTTGCCAATTCTCGAATTATTATTTTAGAATCTTTAAGAAGAGGAAAAGACTTTTACTAAGATATTGCGTTTACAACTTCCGACTTCATTTTCAACTTCCCACGGTTGGAATGACAACCGGGCACTATACAGACGAAATTGTAAATTTCAAACAATCTGCATAATATTATTTCAATCAATATACAATTAGATGCACATATTGTCTCTTTTGACATTTATAATTAAAGTATAAATAATTACAATATTCGTTATTGATTATTTGAATGGGCATCACAACGAAATACTATAAATAAAAAGGGAAATTGTTATACCCTACCTAGGTTCAGCAGAGGCTCGGGCCTGGTATGCAGGTACGCTCGGATTATGGTGTGGTTTAGGATGAATAATGGGATTCATCGTCTGGCTCTGTACGGGTGGATGCTCAGAGGGTGACATGTAGCTATTTGGATTATATCTGTCAACTGATACTCCTCGCGGTGGTCTTGGCAAAGTGTCCAAATTGCTCTTTACATATGAACTTTGTGGTCGGCCACGACCTAAAGTATTTGACCTCGGCCATTCTTTTGAACTAGCATACTCTGGCTCGGAACTTCTCTCACGCCATGATCTGGGTCTCAACGTCTGCGTCCAGCTTGTTGGAGCGGATGCGTTATAATCTGTCGGTGCAGCATACTTAGAATCCTCCTCCCAAGGAGGTCTAACAGAGGTAGTTTCAGACTGCGTTGATTGAGTTTTCTCAGTGAATTCTCTTAATTCTCTCCTCCATTGTGGCTCAACTATTTCTGCGGGTTCGTTGTTATCGTAGTAATATTGAGGAGATGGATCTGGTTGAGCTTGAAACTTTGACTCTACGGGAACATACGTACTCTCAGGGACTGATATGTAACGCCTCTCATATTCGCTGTAATAAGTTTTTCTACCCGGTAGTCTCGGTGGATCAGCAGTGGTCAAAGGCTTGACAAAAGATTGATTTGGCGCCGGAGGGACGTAAGATGTAGGTGCCGGTTTTGAAAATTTGCTGGTTGGTTTAGGTTTCCAGCTTGAATTTACATTAGGAGTATAAGAAGGAGCAGGTGGTGGTGGTTGGTAGTAATTTGTATTATTAGATACATAACTTGAATCCTGTTCCCAAGGAGGAGGTACATAAGAGGAGCTCAACTGTTGCCTCGAACTTTGATAATTTTCCGTTGATTCCTTCTTTATTGTCGAATAATGATCAGCTTGAGGAATAGTCGGTTTAGGTTCAAATGTACTGCTCACCCAACTTGGTTTTGGGGCGTAGGAAGTGTAAGCGTTATTTTGATAATTATTGAATTTATTATGAGAAACATTTTCTGTAAGTGATGGCGTGAATTCAGGCTTAGGTGCGTATTGTGGTTGTGACAATGTTTGATATTGGGGTTGCCCTTGAGGCTGTACTTGAGGTTGAGGCTGCACAAATTGTTGTGTTTCTGGTTTATTCCATTGAGGAATGGGTGTACTTACTGTCGGTGCCAATGTGCTTGATATTACATCTTCTTTCCTCGTATGTTGATACCACTGTTGATTTTTAGTAATTTCACTTGGTTTAACATTACTCACAGATAAAACTTCAGATTGTGGTTCTTGTAACCACGGAGATTGTTCACGATGTTGCGTAGACTGATAATTGTTGTGGTATATTTCTGATGTAGGTATTTGGCGTTCCATACTTAATCTTTCCAAGAGCAAACTATGGCGTCTTTCAGATTGAGGTTCTGATGAAAACACAGGTTGATATGGCTTTGACACAGGTTGTGGAGATGATAAAACTCTGTCAGTAGTTTGAGTAAAATATGTGTTTAAGGTTGGAGCCTGTGATATTTGTTCATAAGCATGGTCTAAAATTTTTGACGTGCGATTTACTGTAACTATGTTTTCGATTCTATTAAACTCGGTTTGAGTACTAGCTCCAATTGGCTTGTCAGTTGTAGTGGTTATAATTTCGGTGTGAGACTTTTTAAAGATTTCTTGAGCTGGTCCAATAGGTTTTATTTCAACATCTTCTACTTTTTCTAGTGGTACAGAAGGTTCTCTCAAAAACCCTATTTTGGGTTCATATTCTAAAGAAGTTTTAATTATGATTTCTTCTTTTCTTTCATGTCCTTTGGTTTGATCCTTAGATTCTAATGGTATTGTAGATGAAATATTTAAAGGAACGTTTTCAATATTCCCATTTTGTTTAACTTCTAAGGAAATATCATCATTACTTTTAACTTCATTACTACTTAAATCAACTTGAGCATCTGGTACACTAACTGTTTCATTGTTAGCAGCTTTTTCGTTTTGTTTCATTTCATCTTGATTTTCTTCAACTTGTTTATGATCTTTTTCATCATCTTCTTCAGATTTTTGTATTAAATCAGTTTCAGATTCAACTATACTTTCAGATACTTCCTTTTCTTCAATATTTTCAACCTCTTGTACAACTTCTTCCACTTGGTTTTCATTTTGATTTTCATCTTGTTCTTCTTCATTCTCTGATTCTTCCTTTTCAACAGTTTCCTCGTTTTCCACAATTTCTTCGTTATTTTCAACTTCTTGCTCTTTTATGTCTTCTTCTATGTTATTTTTTTGATTTACAACTTCTTTTTCGTCTTCAGCCTTACAGTCATTGCTTTGGACAGTTGATACTTTATTTAATATAACTACCTCTTCAGTACCAACGTCTTCGGCATCTGCTTCTTCCTCTTCTTCCACATCTTCAACTTCTTCCTCTTCTTCTATCTCCTCTTCTGATTCTTGCTCTGTACTTACTATAACTTTTTTTACCGTATTTTTCTCAGTCTTCTCTTCACTAACAATTATGTGACCATTTTGTTTTTTTGATATTTGTGACAATTCTTCTTCATTAACTTCTTTGTTCTTTTCAACGGATTGATCAACTTCACAGTTATTTTCGTCATCTTCACCATTTACTTGAACAATTTCTTCCGTTTCTTCTTCTTGCTCTTCCTCAAATTCCTCTGAACTAGCCACAGCTTTTGGTATCGTTTTTGTTTCGGTTTTAGTTGTTATTTCAGTTCTTCCATCAACAGTTGTCTTAGTTGTAGTAGTTTTAACTTCCTCTACTGTGCCATCTGGTAAAATTTTTTTCACGATATCCACAGAAGTTTCTGTTTTCGCAGCAGACTTTTTTGATGGTAATTTGATTACAATTTCAGCTTCGGTATCACCATTATGTTCTACTTCATTTTTCGTATTTGTTTGTTGCTTGACAACTTTAACTTCCTTCTGGAATCAATAAATAAAAATGTTTGTTATTATTATCATATTCTTAGTTACAATTATAACCAAATTTGGAATCTTATACTTAATACAGTTAGTAACATGAATTCAAGACAGATTCAACGTTCCATATTAGCGATATTATACATAGAAATAAGTTATTGAACTCACAATAAAAGGTTAGATCGTTCTATGTAACCCTTTGTTTTAGAGAGTTATATTTATGCTTAACATAGAATGAAAACAGGCACGTAAGTAGAATAAATGCACATATGTATATTCAAATCAACCTTTTCGTCATCACTGTCTGCCTTTTTTTGCAATGGTAAAATATTTAGCATCACGGGAATTGCTTTGTTACTTTCGCTCGTAAATGAAATATCCTTTTTGTTATCGTTTTGTTTCTCTTCATCGGACCAATAATTTGTAGTATCATGTTTTTCATTTGCTTGTTTTGATTGTACTTTATTATATTGTAAATCTGAATGTAGCTGTTTATTTGTCAATAAAAATTTGCGTGCATCGTTTTCATCATCTGGTAAACGAAACGAATATTCATTTGGTTTATCTTTAATATCATAATACGAAGACTGTTTATTGTTCTCCATACTGTTGTTTATCATAAATGTCGGAGGATTATTTACGCTTTTATAAATAGAAGCATTCGATGTGTTGTCAGCGTTTAACTTTGGCACATTATTTGACTGTTCTTTAGGAGCATCTGGATTACTTCTAGTCCTAAGCAGAGACTTAGGATTGGCTGGTAAGGCAAATGTAGGAAAAACTTGTACTGGCAAGCAATTAAAATTAGGTAACGCATTGGACGGCATAACTGGTGGAGATTTTAATGTCTGTACTGGCTTTTCAGGAACTCCTTGATTCATGGCATTTCTCATTAACCTTTGTGCCATACGTTCCGACTTTATTTCAGAAAGATCCAGACCTCCGGGCGTATAAGTAAATGGTTTACGTTCTTTACTCATGGCGCCATGCAATGCTGACGGTGGATTCATTGCTGAAAGGGGTTTTACGAAAATTTATTGCCAATGATTTTAAAAATACCGTTAAATATAGCTTATCTAAAATGTATAAATAGCGTTGTAAGCTCGAACATGATTTGGCAAATTGACAACAACAGTAAAAAAAATAGAAACGAAATACTCACTGGAAATCGTAAGATCAATTTATTAACTTCCTGTACGGATACCGTTGATGTTTCACCAATTTTAATCTAACGAACAGTAACACGTAACTTTTATCCACATCACTTACAAATCTTTTAAGATTAATGAGTTTAAAGATGTAGAATTAACTGATCACATCGGTTAATTATAGCATGGAAATCCTGAGCCAGAGCCAGTACATACGTTGGCGGGAGGCGTCTAGCGCGGTGGGCGCGTGCGCCGCCTGACGCCTACTGCCATCTGCCTTACTGCCGTCATGTATTTTGGTCGCGACCCCAATATCGGCCGTCCCGTCTACAATTTGTCTTTACTAAATAGCTACAACAATGCATATTTAGCTCGAAAATCTTTACGTATTTCTCACACATTGATCTGTATTTCGAATAACGACTCTATCAATGTAATCGTAAATTAGCCTTTCTATACAAATAAAAGATATACAGTTGATTGGTGCAATAAAATGTTATATATTTTTTTAATAAATATCCGTATTATTTACTATACGTGATAATAATAGAGTTTCAGTCTAACATATATTTTACAGGCACAACATATATTTTATGGAAATTTGGCTCTGTTCCAAAAAAATTTAAAACTCCACAATAAGACTCAAGATTCTTAAATATATTATTTGTGAAATTAATTGTTTATTCTCTCGATATGTATGCGACGCGCTTAACGTTTCAATGTATTGTAATATGCAAATATTTACTTAATAAATAATAATTTACATAATGCAAGTAATATTAAATATTTGGTTAGGAATATATATTTTAACTATATGTTCCATATAAAAATTATAATTTAGATTCAATCCACCATGTGTAATAATATTTATTACTAAACGTATATTTATGATTGTAAATATACGTTTAGTAATAAATATTATAATCTTAATAACTCTGCATTATGATTATAATGCAGAGTTAAGAAGTTTATTTACATTTCCACATTTAAATAACACTACTTTCCTTGCTAGTCTAAAGAGTTTGCCAATAAAACTTTTTTGTTTCACATAAAATACGTTTGAACTTTCTGAGTGTTCATCATTTATGATCATAGCGTATGCTAAATTGAAGTTGTGCTTCTAATATCTATCTATCTAGTTTATCTACTGTATTTTTGCAACACATAATTTTTTTCTGTATAGAATAAGTTGCATATTAGACATCTTATCATTCTTGTCTTCTTTTTTTAACTTCTGTCTTGTCTTGTTTCGCATTTTATATTTTCTTTCATGCCTTACTGCCATTATTTTCCTTTTACCTTACATTCTTCGGAGTAAAAGGAGATTCAATCCATCCAGATGATAATAGCCATTCTTTATCATAAGATCATCACTAATATACTTGTCCTTTAAAAGATCCTACTATATTTTTAATAATAATTTCAGTAAAAGAACAAAATACTTACTTAAAATTACTATAGAAATATACTTCACTGACCAATAAATAACAAATCATTAAACTTTACGAATTTAATACTTTTTTAACAGACATATAAAAACTAAATTAGCTTAATCTTTTTAGTTTAGTGTTATGGTCAGACTCTTGAAATTTTAACTGAACGATAATTCTTACAACTGCAATACATCACCAAAATGTTACGATGCAAACAGAATTTTAATATAAATACATTATTACAATATAAGAGTCATATAAAAAGGTTTTATTAAAACCATCCGGTAATTTTTGCATGAACATCCATACAAGAGTTCTTCCCAGCTCGAAAACTTTTGTAATATTAGGATTCTGACCCAACTTCTCTGGGACCAATTTTAATTTTAAATATCAAGCCAGTCAGTCGTTTCAATGCGACAATATGACTTTAAAAACAAACTAATCCGTGTTATAAGGATTAATGCAACAAGAACAAAGATAACGCAATAAAATGTAATTGTATTTTATTTGAAAACTTACTTTCGTTTCTGTCCTTGCAATCTCAGTTTCAGTCTCCATCCTGCGAAGTGGAAAACAACATTATTTTATATTCACATTACGAGTATATCTTATGAAGCGTAAGAAATTATTTATAGTAAAAACACGTATATATCATATAAGAGTTTGTTCTCGACAGAAATTGATAAAAGCATTATCAGAAAATATATTATTAAATCTTAGCAAAATTATTTTTAATTTTTAATGAAATTATATTTTCAGATCATACTCGCATACTACAAAAATATTTATTGATTTTACAATTAAAATAATTCTCTCTATCTATTGAAGAAACATCCATAATTATATCATGTAACGTATTATGTATATAATATATATATATTATATATTACTTTCAATTTATGCTTTAATCATTAAAATGAATTATATATATGTACTAATGAATAATATATATGTACAATAAAACTTACAATTTAATACATTTATACTAATCTCAACTTATTGAAGTTACTTGTTACTCAATTAATTATATTCAAATCATTTTGTACAGATAATAATAGTGTAATATACAAGCAAATAAATTACTTAATTGGACAAATACATCCATAAACAACTTACGCAGATATCGTTTGTGCCAAAATACGTAAATTCCTAAAATTATAGCTCTAATAATTCCAATGGTATAGATTTGCATCCAAGAGCTATAACATCAAAATACTCTAATTTTATATGCACTCTATTTCTATAAACAAAAGACTCATTTTATAAACTGATTTTTCTTGTAAATTAACTCGATACATATCGATGTAAAGGTAAACTTATTAATACATACATAAACTCAATCATACCTCTTCTTTATATTGACATATATATTTTTCTATAAAATATTTTAATGTTCTATAAATGACATATTTTTATATATTCTATCTACATATAGGTATATCCCTAAATTCACAATATTAATATGAAAATTTATAACATATTAATTTACGTTTATATAAATGAAATGCTTTTAATCGAAGCATCAAAAAATCATTAGGCATCAATCCAACTGTTCGAGCCGTAACCAGTTCAAAGCTATTCAGCATTCATGCAATGACGCCTGTCATAATAAACTACACTAGAACATATAAAAATAGACGTTGCACCAGATTTTTTATATCAGAACTATATTTTTCTCGTTTACTTTAAATACGGGATACATTTTTTCTATTTATAAATTCAGAATATCATGTAACTGTTTCTATATTAGGTTAATATGCGAATGGATTCCCAAAATTAATCAAATATTACATTACACTAGAAAAACTCTTTAAGGTTATTCAAATATAAATGACTACTCGTCTGCAATCGTAACAAATTGCTTATAAAATATGTAATGTTTTTTAAATTATACTGTGCATTATGATTTATAAAAAATTAAAATAAAAATTACCCTTCAAGCAGCACACTTGTAAAATATTCATTAACTTTTTATATCTTTTTGATTAGATACTTACGTATTCCATATGTATATAAAGCTAACATTATTTCTTTATTTTCAAATAATTTTATTATTAGCAACTCGTTTAATAAAATGATTTCATAATTTTTAAACATCATCATCTAAATAATGTTTAGAATGTAACATCTGCTACCTTCAAACGGGAATGAATCTAGCTTTAAATATTTTTAAATGATCGAGGTCAAACAACTATCATTAGAAAACCAACAACTTACATTCATATACCATATGTATGCATAAATATAATTTTCAACATGAAAATATAAGATTTTATCTCAAAGGAAAGTAGTAAAATTTACAAAGAGGCATATATTAAGTACAATAATGTATAGATATTTCATTACTGGTCTGTAAATAGGCTTATTACGTATAGCTTTATACTGATTATAAGATAAAATTTGTGTAATCAATTTTTATTATCAAAACTGCAATGCAAAAATATTTAAAAATAGTTTTGTCACACATTTATATATAAATATATTTTTTAATCACAAAGAAATTATAAGAAACTGGTTGACCGATAAATTACTTGCATGGATTGCTTGTACACGTTTTAAAAAATTAGAAAACATTTTCGGAGTAAATCATTAAACAAGCCCTGATATATAATAAAATAAGATTTTACATACTTTTTAAACAAAAAGTATCAAGGGGTGTTTAAAAATTTTATTTCTTATTATGTACGATATGAAAGCAACAATAAACAAACAGACTTTTATGAAAGACCCCATTCTAATGACAGTTTTCTTCAGATCTATAGAGAATGTTACATGATTTTAAGCAGCAATTTTTATACTTAACTTTTTATACTTATTAACAACTTCCTTTTTATTCGATAAATTGTATCAAGAATATTCAATTTAAAAAAAAAAATTCTGGATAAGGGTACCATATGTTTCTTGTTACTTTATAGAATATGGAAAATATTTTATTTTATAATTATTATGTATCGTAGATATATGAAAACATATATTTGAAGGCACATACAGTTATAAAAGAAATTTTATATCTTTTAATAACTTAATAAGGTAAGGTAAGGTAATAACTTTATCAGGTATCTTTTATTTGTATTTTAACTATTATAAAACAGGTTTTTGTTTATATTAGTTACGTTACAGTAACATGGAAGATACTTGGGTTAAATGAAATCGCTATCATTGTTATAAATGCAAAGGAAATTTTAAATTGTTAACTCAAATTCAAAAAACACGAACATATTAATTTAATGAAACAATCACTCAATAAAATTCCACAATATAAATAATATTGGAAAATATAGTTTGAAAACAGTAATGTGTATTAGGATTTTTTACTTATTTATTTGGTAATTACTTTTTGTATGTTTTCCATGCGCCTGTATTATCGTTGACTATAGTTACAAATAGCAGTTGCACCAAACGATGTCTTCTTTATTGACTATTACTAGT